CAACTATGATGGTAGCCAACGTGCTGGCTTTCCATCTGGACAATGGCCGCCAGCAAGCTGGCTTCCACTGCCTGTTGTCAGCCAGCAAGCTGGATTCCACTGCCTGTTGTCCAAGGCACGTGTTAGTTGTACTACCAAGTCGCCAGTTCTCATCTTCCAGCTCCCCAGCTACTCCGCGCACTACAGTTATATACTACACCGTCGCCAGTTCGCAGCTACTACCCACTCGCCAGTTCTCCTCTTCCCATTTCCCAGCTACTCTTCATACTAAAGTTGTACTACCCAGTCGCCAGTTCTCATCTTCCCAGTCCCCAGCTACTCTGACTCTGCGTACTAAAGTTGTACTACCAGGTTGCCAGTTCTCATCTTCCAGCTCCCCACCTACTCCGCATACTAAGGTTGTACTACACAGTCGCCAGTTCTCAGCTACTACCCACTCACCAGTTCTCATCTTCCCACTCCCCAGCTACTCTGCGTACTACTGTTGTACTACCAAGTCGCCACTTCTCATCTTCCAGCTCCCCCGCGACTCCGCGCACTACTAAAGTTGTACTACACAGTCGCCAGTTCTCAGCTACTACCCACTCACCAGTTCTCATCTTCCCACTCCCCAGCTACTCTGCGTACTACAATTGTACTACCCAGTCGCCACTTGTCATCTTCCAGCTCCCCCGCTACTCCGCGCACTACTAACGTTGTACTACAACATCGCCAGTTCTCAGCTACTCCGCGTACTAAAGTTGTACTACGCAGTCGCCAGTTCTCAGCTTCCAGCTCCACAGATTGCTCCGCGTACTAAAGTTGTACTACAAAGTCACCAGTTCTCAGCTTCCAGCTCCCCAGCAGCTCCGCGTACTACCGTTGTACTACCAAGTCGCCAGTGCTCATCTTCCAGCTCCCCAGATACTCCACGCCCTCCAGTTGTACTACCCACTCGCCAGTTCTCATCTTCCCGCTCCCCAGCTACTCCGCGCACTACTCTCGCACTGCCGCATCGCCAGTTCTCCGCTTCCAGCTCCCCAGCTACTCTGCGTACTAGAGTTGCGTACCAAATCGCACTCTCGCCTGTGTTTCGCGCACTCGACACGCACGATCTCCGCAGAGGGTTGCGCGGGCAGCCGGCAAATCACACTCTCGCCTGCATTTCGCGCACTCGGCACGCACGATCTCCGCAGAGGGTTGCGCGCGGACCGGACAAATCGCACTCTCGCCTGCATTTCGCGCACTCGACACGCACGATCT